AGTCCCCTTTATCAAACTCACTGCTCTATTCTGTACCAACTAAAGTCTCCAGACTGTCTTCAAAGGCAGCATCAAATAGAACACCTTAGAATAGTCCAAATGAGAGATTACTATAGCATGGATCACTTTTGCTAGGCTCTGCTTGTCAAGATAGCGATGTAGTTGGTAAATCAGTTGAAGCTGATATAAGGTGCTCTTATTCACTGAGTCAACCTGTGACTCTAGTGACAACCCAGTATCTAGGAGCACCCCCTTGCCCAGTACCTGTTCTTTGTCCTTCCTGACATTTCCTTTTTCTTGATCATGCTCTTCCTTCCTGATGTTGGAGCCCAGCTTGCCTGTGGACCTTGCCTTTGCCTCTGATTCTGCCATGCCTTGTTGGTATCTGAATTTTGCCTGTTCTTGACCTTGCCTTTGATTTTGCCATGCCATGTCCGTACCTGATCCTCACCTGCTTCTGACTTTGCTTTCACCTCTGGTATTGTGCCACCATGTTGGTAGGAGACCCTCACCTGTTCTTGACCCTTCCTTTACTTCTAGACCTGTCATGCCCTATTGGTATCTGACCTCACTTGTTCCTGTGTCTACCTTAACCTTTGTTTAGACCAGTACCTGACCTTAGCCTTTGTTTGGACTTGGGTTTGCCTCTGATCCTCTAGCATCTCACAAAGACTGCCATCCTGCTCCAGGACCCTAGCCCCAGTATTCCAACTTTAGCCACCTGCTCTGTGTCATAGACCTGACAACTGCAGTTGTAGCTCTCTAGACCTGGACCCCAACATTCATTTCCTGTTTCTCCCTGATTTGGTCAAGCACTGTCCACACTGGTGGATAATTCCACCTCAACTGTTGCAAGGGTTCAACCCTGCCAAATAGTAACAGTCACTATACACACTTTCTCCCTGGTTGGAGGGGCGGCTCATTAATGCTCTTTCATAATCAAAAGACTGTAGTCTCAATGGGAATAAGCACTGCATGTCAACCAACTCAAACTTCTCATGGTTGCTAAAGCCCTGTAGCTATCCAAAAGCTCCATCACAGGGCAAGTCATAAAGATCACAACAGATAATAGCACCATAGTTATCTACATGAAGGACCAAAGTAGTACAAAATCTCTTCCTCTCCTAAACATCTCCTCGGCCTCTGGAACCGGTGCATTTAACATCACATTACTTGATATTATAGTCATACAGTTGATGGGAACATCCAGTATCCTTGACTATTCACTTAGCAGGTCAGGAACCTCCCTTCACAAATGGGAACTTGCACCAAGAGTCTTACAGATGGTTTGCAACAGATAACACCGACCCAGCATACATCCTGTTGCCACAGAGTCCAGCACAAAATGTTACTCCTTCTGCAGGCTTGTGAACAAAATATCCAGCAGCAGGGCTCCTTGTATGGTGGTCCAGGCAAATGTGGTTCACTGTGCTTTGCGCCCATCACTATACTTTGTGAAACTGAATTCAATAGTTTGACTACACTGTATGGAGCAGTATTTCTTTCTAGCTGCTTTGGAACTTCCACCAGTCAGCTTTATGGGATGATAGCATTGCATCCTGGTGTTATTAGAGACTAAAAAATAAACTCTTATCCATTCTTTCCACATTATGCATGTTTTAAAACATCTCTGTCATGTCTCCCTTTATTCACCTTTTTTCCCTAAGCCAGGGGTCGGCAACCTTAAACACTCAAAGAGCCATTTGGACCCGTTTCCCACAGAAAAGAAAATACGGGGAGCTATAAAACCCTTTTGACATCTAAAGTGAAGATAACACTGCATATATCGTTTTTTACCTTTGTGCTATGTATAAAAAACTACAGTGTGCTGCATTTATGAAATCAATGAATGATTCTTTTATATAATCTCCATCTGTGAACGGCTTCCCGTCCTGACTATTTCCTGAGCGGCCACAAAACTAGCATATGTAGTTGAATTTGCAGACTTAATCCACTTCTTGAGATTATTTTTGCTCAGATCAACCTTCCGCATCAGGTCCGAAATGGCTTTTTTCCTCTCATCTCCATCTGAATATTTTGCAGCGAAGGGTGTGTGTTTATTCTGGAAATGTCTTGCAACATTCGACTTTTTGTTGTTTGCCAATTTCTCACCACATGTTACGCATACTGGTAAACCAGTCTCGTCAGCAGTGAAAGCAAATGAATCTGCCCACATACCATTAAACGTTCCGTTTTCTTCTGAAACTTTTCTTTTCTTGGATTTATCCATGGTTGGCCTACAGGGGGTCGAACAGCTCAATAAATCGCATGCCGGCGGGTGTCGCACATTGGTGGTTGTGACGCATATTTTGAGCGACAGGGAGCTGCAGCAGAGTGTTGAAAGATGGGTTTCTGACCCCTGCCCTAAGCCAAACAATTCTATTACAGAGGTGTAACTTTTCCTAATAGTGGAATTGCTCCAGCCCCTTGATCATTAAATTTGCCCTTTTCTGCCTTTTTCCTACAATATCCTTTCTTGGGTGCAGTGATCGAAATGGCAGAGAATACCCTAAGTGTGGTTGTGCCAGAAATTTGTGTATAGGGAATATGATACCTGCAGTTTTAATTTCAGCTGTCTTCCTCATATTGCCTAATTTGGAGTTTGCCTTTTTTACAGCAGCCACATACTAGGTTGGCATTATCACTGAGCTGTCCACCACACCGCATCAGCATATATTTGCAGTTGAGATTTTTTTGCCCCAGTCAGCATCAGTTTACACTTGCTTACACTAAACGCAGTGTAGAGAGGTCCTTTTGGACCTCCTCACAATCCCTTTTTGTTTTAAATGCTCTAATTTAATGTCATCAACAAAATTAGCCACTTCACTGCTCACTATTAATTTCAGATCTTTATGAATATGTTGAAAAGTATAGGTCCCACTGCAGATCCCTATTGGACCCCACTGTTTTCATCCCCCCATTTATTCCTGCTTTCTGTTCTCTAACCAATTACTGATCCATATCAATTCCCAGTCAGCTCCTAAGTACAAACCATGAAGTACAGTACATAACCTTTAGGGAACTTCTAAAAATATACTTCTTTCAGCAGCTGAAGTATTTTGATTGATTGATTGAACAACCATCAGTTGATTGCTTCTAGTTACTTGTGTGTTCAGTTCACCAGAAATTCAAATGTAGACTGTCCTGATCCATATTCTCATCAAGTGAACTATCAGCATCCGTGTGGATGGTAGCTGTTGCTTCAGAACACTGCACTAAGTTTTTGGTGCTGCAAGAGCTGCTGTCTAGAAGTGGTCTTAGGAGGAAAAGTGTACAACAGGGACAGCACATAAGCTTCATCAGTGAGTAGACGTACTGGCCTGTAGAACCCAACAGTAGGACAGTCATACAGCAAATGGATACTGCTTCATTGGCATCTTTCTGTCACTCACCTTAGTCCTGTGTAGCAGCAAGATTCTTGTTGGTTGACTATTCTTACTATTACAGAACATGTGTTAACTTAATTCTAAAACTGGTTTGATGCTACATGAGTCCATTATTATTTTTTTTTGTGCAGAAGCTCTTGCAATAGCCCAATGTTGTGTACAATCAGAATAATTATATAATGTGTAAAAGGCCCATATTGTCCTTGTATTTATTTTCTTACTGCAGTTCAGAATAATTTGACATCAAACTACACTCCAAAAACCATTCAGCTACAGTCCCTAAGCAGTTCACTTTTACATTTCAGTGTTAACTTCTGTATGATTTTCCTGAATTAATTAAATTGTCAGACCCTTTAGGATATCAGCCTTAATATTTGGAAATATCAGGTTACCTGTATTTTGGTAACAGATAATTTTATCAGCCTAGGAACCTGCTGTGAGTATTCAACACCATGTGTTCTATATGAATCAAAAGTGTTGCTGTTGTTCTGGGCACTATCAAGGGAAGTATATTTATAGTATCAGGGAAAAAAGTTGGATACAAGTAGTGGAAAATTAATGTGTAGGCTTTGGAGCAAGGAACAAAAACAGTTCAGCCTCATAACATTGAAATAAACAACAAATGCCAGGTAAATTCCCTCCATGCACAGAGAGAGATATACACAAACTTACCTCCCTACAACACATATCTTTCTTCAAAAAGTTTTGTACACTTATATATCTATCACTGAGTACTATTTTAGATTTTTATATTCCCGTACTTCACAATTCATCAGCCAATTTTACAGGAAGTGAGAGTTGTCAGTGCTCCATTCAATCTAGAACAGAGTCCTTTCCTTTTTGTCCTAGATAGAATTTGTACTGTTGTAAGGTATATTTCTTGAAAACATGCATACTGGATTGACAAAATATATTTATTTTAAACTCCTCACTAACTTCAGTCTTCACTCACAAGAGAAGGCAAGTTTACTGGCTCCTGGTAAAGTGGTGCTTCTAGTAGCACAGAGCAAATGATCAGGACATAAATCTGATTCATAGTAGAGTTCATTTCGTGGGAATGCACAGCAGTGTTCTTTAGAAGAGCAACTACAAATAACAACTTCATGCATCATAAATCTTTCCTTCATTTAGCAGAGCTGGCTTGCATCATAAAATTAAAATCCAACAATGAGATCTTCATCTTCATGATTTTTGTAACCTACAACTTTCTGTAGCATAGCTGAAGGAGGTAAAATGCTTTATTTGTGCCTCCAAACTATAATCAAATGTGTTTAATGACAGTGAAATACCAGAAGAATCCGTATGCCCATGTGTAATTCTTCAGTTAGTTTCAAAATGTAAAGCAAAGCAAAAAGAAAAAACCACTAGGTAGATATACTGTAGATTATGTAACTGCAAAATAGTTCTATACCAATCAGGGGAAAAAAGTAGAGGAGGGATTGCTTTCTTACAGCCTTCCACGAAAAAATGTCTGAAGTATCTTTCTTCCAAGCAAGCATCTTGACAATATTTTTATATGTGTAAACCTGGTGGGTAGGACATGGAGAAAGGGTGATACTACTCATTTTGTGTTTCTCTGATGGCATTTGTTTCCTTATTTGCATTTTTCTACAGGTTCTTAGTGGATCATCTCACCAGAGTTACCCAACTGCTAGCTTTCAGGACTACAATAATTGGGAATCCCTGATGAAAATCAAAGAAGGGTTATTAAGACAAAAAGAGATTGTGATAGATCGGTAAGTAAATTTACTCTTCCAGTTGCTTTAGAATTGCCTTTAAATCTGGTGAGGATCCTGGACACTGATCTCCCAGAAGTGTGGAGAGGTGCTCTGTAAAATATGAAAGAAGAATGCAAATTAGCACGATCTAAAAGTGGTTTGAATGAAGTAATGAGAATTGGATCATTGTAGGAGTTATATTGGAAGCATCATAATGCCATTATATAAATTGATGGTACATAGTTAGTTCTCCTGGTCCTCTCAGCAGCTTTCAATACCATCAACCATGGTATACTTCTGGATAGCCTGGCCAGGTTGGGGGTCGGAGGCACTGCTTTGCAGTGGTTCTAAAGGTCTTCCCATGAAGTTTATTTGTATTACATGGAGGATAAATAAAAGAAATTGCCTATCTAAAACACATAGGAGACTATTAATTTATGGAGATTGGAAGTTAAGAAAAATGAACAGAATAGTTGAATTTGAGTCAGGAGTATAACTACATTAGAAATTAGAATTAGCAAGTTCCCAAGCTTTGGTAATGCTTAGAAGATGGTTTGCAGAACCCAGTGGAGAAGGATGAGCCCCAGTGTTTTTTACACAAAAGCATCTATTTGCAAGTATTTGGACCATCATACAAAATGAATAACGTGCAATAATCTATTTCAATAGCCTGTAGTTTTCTAGTCAGCAATCAAAACTTGATATATCAGCAGTTAATACTTTGTTCTAAGAATGTAGCTTCCAGTAGTTTTTATGTTTTGGGGTATGCAACCTGGTGCCCTCTATAGTTGTGAACTACAACTCCCATAATCCCTGATCACTGGCCTTGCTTATGGAAGCTGTTGTTCAAAAGACCTGGAGGGCAATAAGTTGCCTATGTACAGATTGGTTTCATATATAATATGAATGTGGTATATATCTGCTAGTGTTTGTAGTCTGTGCTTATACAATTATGGATGATTTCCTCTTACCCTGTAAGGGATTCATAAAACCAGGATTATAACTGGATTCTCTGCAGCACGAGATGCTATGAATGGTTGTTGTTGAAGTATTTCAACAGGTTCTTAGCTTGTCAGTGTTTGTCATGAGGGCCGTTTCTAGGTAATGGAAACATAGTCAGAGTTTCAGATTAGTAATTCCATCTCTGTGTGCATTACTATAGCTAAAGCAACTTTGTAGCAGAAGGGTGACTATGTGCTATGAAGGATGGCCCCATGTTGTTTATCAAAAGGTCAGAAAACTTACTGAGTTTACATTAATTTACTTGGGAGGCATTATTTACTGATGCCAAACAAGTTTCAAGGTATAGTTCGATGCTAGAGTGGGGTGGCTCCCTGCTGACACGCATGTCCCCCAGAGTGGTGCTTCTGAAGGTTATGTGACACTGTGGGTAGTAGAGTGCTTACAAGAAGAAAGAAGGGAAAGCCCTACCCCAGTGTGTGCACAGAAAGAATTTCCGCTTCCATGGGATTCTTTCGTTCCCAGTCATTATCGTTTACATGGGCAAAACTGCAGAGTCAGAACAAGTTCATATGACTGAACTGATATATTGAGGATATAAAAACTATTCAGAGCTGGTCATATGGTAAAAGAGTAAGATTACCTCAGGAACTGCCAAACTAGATAAGGTTGGACTGTGAACTGGAACTTGCTTGTAAGAATCAAATGAACACTGGGGCGGGGGGGTGGGGGTCTGCTTGTGTGTAAATATTACTGAATCCATTTAACCCCCATTCTCAGTCCAGTTTTCCAGTCCAGGAAAACAGGCAAGAGTATGTGGCTCTTGAATGAATAATATTTAGATAACATCAATGCTGGATTTTGTTCCTAGAATAGTCCAGCTGTTCCTTTGTTTATAATGCAAAAACAAAGAATGTAATGCTCTGGATATAAGTTGCTCATTCTCACTGAAATAAGTTTGTATTCTTTAAAAATTATTAATCTTTACTTGACTTTATTTTTAACACTAGAGGGAGTAGTGGATTCTTGCATGATTTTTAACTAGTTTATTGATTGTGTTTCTACTCCAGTGCTTTAAAAACATACATCATACAATCACTGGTTTGTAATGGTTTGGGTTGTTCTGACCTTGATTGGCCATTGCATGCTACACATTTCCACTGCAGTGCTGAGGCTAATACTGGCACTGTTTATTTGGCAAGGATTGCCTAGAATGGTAGTGTGAATAAATGCCAAATGCTAAACATATGACATAAGTCCCTGAAAATAATAGCACACTCATCAACATTTGCAGTGTTCTCTTCTAAACAGCTTAAGGGTGTTCAAAAGGCTTTTTAAGGAAAGGTATATTCAAAGGTTAGGATTTGAATGAATGGCTTTTCTTTCAGAGGGTATAATGATGCTTGCAATTCTGAAACAGCTGCTGAATCTTGGGTTTATCACCATAAGCAGAACTTCGGTTAACTCACTCCCAAATCGTTGAATTAAATACTTTTATTTTTGGCTTGTGGTAGAATTGTTTTTGCTTTGCTTTGTTCATCTGATAGTATGCAGTTGGATCTGTGTGGGTAATAGTACTCTGCTATTTGAAGCACAACACTGGGCCATGCCAAAATGATTTTCTCCAAATGCACAGCCTTGACAATTCCTAGTTCATTCAGATGAACAAAGCTAAATCATGGGCTACATAATTGTAGACATAGTTGACAGTGGAAGCTAGAAAAAGCGCCAGTGTGATCAAATTGCTTTTGGTTTTATCTATAAACTAATATTTAATGGACTGATTCACACAATCAAACTGCCCCATGATTTACTTTAAAAAAACTTTCATATTGCCCAACAACAAGCCATGAATTATACAAAGGCTGGCTTTGTACAACCCTGCCACTTGGGTTCTCATGACATGACAACCTGTGGTCAGGCAGTGAATATTCAAATTCATCCAGGTATGCATCCCAGCCCACTATGGCTTAAGCCACAACAGGATAATTCAACTTTGGGAAATGGCTCTGTGCCTACTGAAGGAGGAATGTGGAGAATAGATTGACTTTAACTCTTTTTTTTTACCACCGTAGTCTTGCGTCCTCAGCTATGCATCAGAAGAGTGCAGTCAGTTATTTTGAAGGTACATAGTGATGGTAGGGAAGATGAAGATGAATATATGATATGCATCCCTAAGTTTGAATATAGACAGCTTCTTGGGCAGTCTGAGAGCCTGCTGTTCCATGAGAAAGGCTGGAACTGTCCAGATGCTGAGGCATAATATGACAACCATGAAAGTTAGTCCATGTATGCAAGGCTTGCCTGTTCTCCTCTTGGCACAATGATATGCTCTAATTGCACAGTATGCAAACCTTTATGCATGTGTGGAGGATTTTGGAAACCTTTGTTTTTGTTTGGCTTTTGATCTCTGTATTTTCCTGTGGTAAAATTTTGAAAACAAGATACTCTGATGGACAAGGTAATACTTAGTGGCAATATTTCCTTTCTTTTCTGCAGATATTTGGGATGAACAAAATTGGAAAAGGATGTAGGATATCTGCCCACTCTAGTTAAAGCTATAGATAGATTGTAATCTGAGTCTGAACCTGAACGTTAAAGTGTTGTCTTACACCTGGGCAAGAACAGAATTATTAACCTCAAATGAGATTCTGGGAAGCTGCTACTTGTCAGGGAAGATGATACCCAGCTAGATGGTATCATCTAATATAACCTTATATAAGTTTACAACCTCTATTTTAAAGAGAATCAGTAACAATAAATTTTGGGGGTTCTTTTGAAGGTAGTAAGGACAGATCTCTTGTCATACTCTGCCTTTCTCTAATATTGAGCCTTTGGGAGGCATTTATTTATTTATTTAAAACATTTCTATGCCGCCCCATCGCAATAAAGCCTCGGGGCAGCGCATGCATAAGGTTTTGTATTTCCACATTAACCATTGGAAAGGAAATGGGCAGGACCAAGATATTTCTCAGATAAAGACAAAGAAAATCTAATTAAACTGCAGGCTAGTTTGAAAATTCTATAGATGTATTTCCAACAGTGAGTGAATGTGATTGAACTTTCAATCTGAAATATCCGAATAGTTCAGAATTACATTGAACTACTTTTTAAAGTGTCAAACATTTCAGAAATTGAGAGGTTCTTGCTCAAATAAAGGCCTTTTATATCTTTGGCTGCATGTGAACATTTTTTTTCCTGTTGAGAGAAGACTAAGCCTGCCTAGTTCAACTTCCTGATTCCATGAATCCAGCCTTTCTGGGAGCTCACATAGCTGTTTCCTGTTGCTTTATCTCCAGCCTCTGGTCTTCAATGTCTTGTATTATACAACTGCGGTTACTAATGATATTAGATAGACCTCATTCCTCCATGAATTTGCTTAATCATTCTATTTGCAAAGTTCATAGGTGAGCACTGATCCCTCCATAACCAGAAATGTATGATTCATACGCAGCTGATGAGTATCATTCAGTTTGGAGGAATCCCAGTGTTTGTAAAACTGCAGAAAATATTGAAGGAAAAAACCTCAAGGGGAAGGGAATCCCAAAGATCCCAGTGAGGACTGAGTACACTGAGTAGCTACAAAGCACTGAGATGGTTAGAAAAGAAAACTGGTGGTGGTGTGGAAATAGAATTGACTGGACATGCTACTTGCATGACAGTGGTTTCAAAATGCTACAGATCAGCAGCTACTTGGACTGCCCTAGCCATAGCCTCCTCTTTAACAGCCACTTCTAGTCAATTCCATCCCCCCACTTTAAACACTGGATTTCTTCATTATGTTCATAAGCAGTTCTACAAGCAACTCAGTAAAATAAAAAATGAGAAATAATGACTAAGCTGACTCTAATTAAGCTTTCTGTTTCCATCAACTGTGAATCTAGTTCTTCTAGTGTAAAAATGAGTGAAAAGTGGGAAGCTGTATCTGGGTGTCTCTTCTTCCATTGTCTTTTGCTCCCATTTTTCTCATTCTCTTTTGTTCTTTTGAGAGAAATGAACAAAGGAAGATTAAAAAGAGACTTGTTAATATTAAAAGGGTGGAGAGAACCATCTCTTAGTCTGGAAAGATCATTTCCTGTTTCACACAAAGGAACTTTCCCAGGGATGGGACTGTTTATAGACATTATTGAGAAATTCAAGATATTTTTGCAGTTGGAACTTAGTACAAAGGTATATATCTCCACAATGCCATACCCAGCCCACAGCATCCTAAGAGAGCAGCAAGAGAAATGTTTCTGCTTTAACACAGTTCTTATTTAGTATAAAAAGTAAAAAAATCCAAAGGAATTGCCATTTATTGTTCCCATATTGCAGGTTGGAAAGGGCTGTGGCAAAGAGAAAGTGGCTTATGACATCCCCAGAAGTGTGATTCAGACTGAATACTGTAGGTTTCTTTCTGACTGGCTTACAGCTGAGCTGAAGCTGAGAAGAGTAGTGTATAACAACCCTACAGTTTTACCATTGCTTTTATTTCCAAATTGCACCATGGGCTGAGAAAGTAAGGTACAATAATCTTCCTGTTATGTCCCTTTTGAAAGTTGTGCAGCTGTGGTAAGAGAGAAAAGCTTAGGACAACCTTCCAATGAGGTACACAAGTCAGAGATGGAGATGAGACTGGCTTAGGTCCCCAGTCAAAAAACTGGCATCCTCCTCAGGCTGCAGCTATGTCCATGCTATTTAAATTGGCCTCCCAGCCCTCTTTCCAGTCCAAACACAACCCTCATTGCATGCAGAACAACATTGTTATTGTATTGCATATTAAGAGAAAGCAAAGGTAGAGAAGGGATTTTGATGCTGTTATTTTTTTAGTCCCACTTGGTCATAGGCTTAGGTACTAGATGTGCATTGCAGTGTTGGTGGGGGGCCCCATATTTTGTTTTGAATCCCATCTAAACTAGTGGTTATCACCATATTTCAGGATTCTATTGTTGCTGCTTCTGCTTAATTTCTATACCACCCAATAGTCCAAGCTTTCTGAGTGATGCACATCAAGTTTTCTACTGTGTGAAAGAATGTTTCTCAGTCAACTTCAGTGGGTCTCCCAAGTTTTAATGTTATGGATGTGTGGGGGACTGTACTGTGTAGCTGTTCCATTTATAAACACTGTATCATGCTGTCCCAGCTTTTTCCCTCTTAAAATAACAAGTCTGTGATGCCTGAGACCTTTCTGAGCTCTAGGATAACCTTTTACAATGAGGCAACTAGAACTGTACGTAGTTGGAGGAACCCATCTAGTGCTTTCCCCCAGTGGAAGACGTGCCTTCCCCCATGATAGATGTAAGTAGAACAGTTTCTCCCCATAGCTCCTGTATGCTGTCGCACCTGCATTTTGTGGGGCAGGGGAGACTATGGAAAACATTCTGTTCATGTGCAGTGTTCAATACTAGTATTCTAAATGTGGCTGCACCAAGGAATCATATAATGAAATATATACTTTCTGTTCTTCACCAGTTGTGGAGACAAAAAATAGAAATGCCTGAAATAAATTAACTTTGTTTTCTGTTCCTCCTTTTGATGTAGAAAATACCTTTGGGGGCTAAAATTAATTCTGTCCATTCAGTTGTCAAATATGAGCAAGAGAATTCTGGAAGGGGGCATAAGTGCTTGCAATTTGCATGCTTAAATATTCATTTTAATTTATATGGTTAAGAACATAAGAATCAGGATCATACCAAGGGTCCATTAGCCCAGCATTCTGTTCCCGCAGTGGCCAGCCAAGTGCCTCAGGATCCCACCAACAGAGCATGGATGCAACAGCACCCTCCTGCCAAATTCTTCAGCAGCTGGTATACATAAGGTATATAGCTTATGATGCTGGAGATAGCTTATAGCCACCAGGAACAGTAGCCATTGATGTATCTTGTGGAAAAAATAGATAGTTTAACTACGCATTATGAGAAGAATAACCTCTTTTGATTGGTCCTGAATCTTCTGCCAATCAGGTTCATGTTGATTATTCTTGTTAAATATCAATCCTGTATTTATTTTAGAAATATTATGCTGTTTTAGCACTGTTTACATGTAAACATTTATGCATACAGAGGCTAAATCTATATTTAAAGTGATAATAGATCTGCAACATTTTAAAGGAGTAAAAATCACGTTTGTATTTAGTCTTTGGGGAAAGTTTTCTGTCATTTGTCTCCTTAGCTTTAATGAGCAGGAAAAAATAAGAACAACAAGAAAAAGACATCAGTTACGAAAATGGTGAAAAATTCACCTTTGGCCCCAACAGCTGTGAAATGGTAGGCTTCTGAATATGGTGGTGGTTGTGCTGTGAATCCTTCCCCTGCCCCCCAGGATTGTTCTGTTAACATGTTCATGAAAGTGCAATGTAAATTACTTGAGATAACAGAATGGTACTTACATGAATGGGGTGGCATACAAGAATCCCAAATAAATAAATACATACATACATACTTGGGTCAAAGATAGGCTTATATATAAAATAAGGGAAAATTCAAAGTCTTCTCTGTAGTTGCTCTTGAAAACAGATGTTTCTACCTTAAAGGAAAGAAAGATGAGAGGTATTTATAGATTTCTTTCCCATTTTGGAGGTCACATTTAATATGTAGTTTGTATAAATTTCCTGACTCAAGAAGCAAAAATCTATCACTTACTATAGAAGATACTTTTCTAGATAATTCTTAACGATATTTATTTATAATGGTTTTTTTAAAGGGTGCTTGGATAAATTAGCATTTTGTTTCCTAAACGCCTTTTGGTGTTAAACTGAATAGGACACATTCCCTTTGATACTTACAGAGATCAGTTGTTGCCCCTGCCCCAAGTCTGAAAAGCAAAGCAAAGGAAAGCAGTTCTCCACAAAAATTCAGAATGCTGGGTTCCCTACTACTTAATTGATGTATTCATACTGTTGTTACCCAGTATTCATAGCAAAGGCTTAGTATATTTTATCATTGAAAACAGAGATGGTTGTGCTATATAGACAGTGTCTCTCGGAGAGATATGGAAGACAGTATGAGTCCTGGACAAATCAAGAGGGGCCCTTGAGGTGGGAAGACTAAGAGTTAACACTGAGAGAAGTGTGGAAGCTGGTAAGTGTAAGGGTGTTAAAGAACTTAGCAAATGGGAACAGATTGGAAACATTTGGAAAAAGAATCTATCATTGACTTTGGAAGTAAGGTATTCTACTTCAGCTTGTGACCCCAAATTGCTGCATAGTAGACTTGAGAAGGTTTTACACTCTGGAAACTATTGGAAAGTGCTAGAATTACCTGTAGACTGGCAGACTGTTGGGTATAGTATTTCCATTGCTCTGTTCTGACTAGCCTGTGAGATCATCATGCTATTATTTTTTTTAAGTAAAGTCCCATCACCATGTGGTTATACAGTGGATTAATAGTAACAGCTGTTGGGGTAACAAAGGATTAAAGCAACCATTCACCATCATCAGCAATGAAATGCAAGTGGCATGACGGCTTTTATTGTCAGACTGCTCTGGAGATTTATAGGATTATATGTAAAATAGGGAATGTTGCTGCAGAGTTTCTTTGGCATCCTTTTTAACAGCTATTATGTTTGACAAGTTTATTTTAAAAGAAGTTGGCTTTAGTGTGAACATTAATGTTGTACAAGATAATTACATAAGAAGTAAGTGCAACAGTAAAAATTCTTCCATTTTCAGCTTGGGAAGGAAACTCTTAGAATAGGATATAATCCTAAATATATGTTAAATATGCAAGTAATAAAATTACTTAAGGCACTTTATTGAATTTACCTGTAGCAAAATGAATTGGATTCACATGTATCCTGCCCTAAATGCTATATAGATAACATTGAAGAGGCAATAAAGCAAGTCTGGGGATATACAAGGTTAAATTCCCTTAAATTTGCTTGTTCAGTATTTGTTTGAGAAACCATCTTGCAAGAGAGAAGTTAATTCTGCAACAGATGGCCAAGTATTATTCCATTAGCCAAATACTAAAACATCTTCAGTGAGATCAAGGCCATATAGTTTTCATCCCAATTCATAGAATATATGCATTTAAAACTAGTATTTAAAAAGTAGTTCTTCTGGCAGTAAGGTAATTTTTAATGACATTGCTACAAAACAAATGTTGTTTCAGATATTTGACTTGTGTTAGAGCACAGACAGTAGGAAGCAGATAAATAGTAGGAAGTAGAAACAGTAGTCTGCAAAATCATCTGAATTTAGGATGAAAAGATTTAATTATAACAGGAATAATTGTGCCTTGAAACCCATAGTTCATTAAATAACAAACAACTGACCACATCAGTGTGAAATACTGTGTAGATACTTGAACATGTTGATGAACATAAGTATGTAGCCAAGATAGAGCATTATGATGGTACTTCCCAACTGAAAGCTATAAATGTTAAACATGTGGCTTACAAAATGAGATCTCTGGATAGTGGAAAGCTTATATTTGTATATGTTTTGGAAAGCACTTTAGATTTTAATGTGAAAGATATAGAGTGCTGTTTGCACTACAGAAGTGGAAGGATCAATTCCTTCGCACTTCCCTCAATGCAGCAAGAACTCCAAAATCTACTGAAGTTAATTAGAAAGCCCCTGTTAGGCAAGGTAGTCTCCTGTTCATAAGGAATTACAGATCAGGCCAAGGAAAATGAATATAGATTCTAAAATTTTGTAACAACTGAGATGGTGATAAAATAGAAATTCCTTCCCTCTTGAAGGTTGAGAAGATGAAAATGGAAAGATTGACATAATGACGCAGGCTTCATATGTTCTACTTTCTTTTCTGTTTTGACACTTGAATTACAGACAGAACCAGCAAATTAACATTTTATATCAAAAGATAAGGGAGAATGAACTGCGAGCTCAGCAAGCAAGATTGGGGCACATTGTGAATTGTGAAGACACTTACATGAGTAGTTTTCAGGTAAGATGAAGTTTTTAATTGCATGGTCAAATAGAAATCCTGAGTGCATATGGTATTATGAATAGTAGGCTTCTGTTATCTTACAATAAAATATTTTGCCTTTCAAACTTTTCATACTTTTATTAAATCAAATGAGACTGGTATCTCTGTACAGGATATCATATCTTTTAATATGATAATTGAAATCAGTTCAGTGTCTATGTCTTCCTCTAGATGCATTTCTGAACTGGTAATATTACATTTTAAACATTCAAGTTTAAACATAGATGCAACAGTGAGAGTTCTGTCATATGCAATAATGAAATTGTATTGCTTTATCATAAAGGGCCTGAATAGTTGTATTGCTTCACACATTATTAGTGATCATAAAATCACAGAATAGTTGAATAGTTGGAAGGGGCAGAGGGTCCAACCCCTTGCTCAGTGCAGGACACCCAGTTAACCCATCCCTCTCAGATGGCTGACCATCAATGTGTCCTCACGTTTTTCTTTGATAGCCTAGCTTTCTTTGAGCTGGAAGTCTGTAATGTGGGGGAGCATTTAGTCATGAGATCCCCCACCTGTATTCTAAAATTATAGAGCCCTAGTAGGGCAATATCACATGCTTTTGCTGAATGGATGAGTATGTCTCAGGTGCTATTGGAGTAACAGGATTTTTCTTCCAAATAGTATTAGGATTTTTTTGCCTTTGGATCCTGTGATTTTATTCGCTAAATAAAATTTATTAGCTATAAATGGATTGATGCAATTAAGAATGGGCAAATGATGGCAAACATACTGTTTATTGACTTGGATTCTATTAACAATTTGAAACAACAAGAAGTCTTAATCTCTGAGAAAAAGTATTTGGCATATTATTGAATGAGACCTGATCACACGTGTTCAGGTTGTAGGTCAGGAGACTGAAACTTCAGGATGAGATTATTTTGGTGCTGGAGGGTGGGGTGGGAATCAGACTGGAATATGCAAAAACCTGATCAATATAGTACTAGCTTAGTTTTCCTATTAAACTAGTTTGCACTTTGCAGAAACCCATAAACTTGCTGCCTCATACAAGCCATGCTGTGTGGGTTCAGAATACACAACAAGAAGGGCCAACGTGGTAATTAGGTAAATGGCCCCAGCAAGCACCAGCACGTACTGCAGGTATACAAGCCCTGGTGTCGTGTTTAAGCTGCAGTGATTGGGTGAACTGGAGCACTGCCATGCTTATATTTGGGCAATTAATTAGGCCAGGAACGGGGAACCTGTGGCTATCTGGCCCCCACAGATATTACTGGATTTTTGTCAGATACACCCAACATGGCCACAAGGACTTGTGGACCAATAACGTATGGAGGGCTATAGGTGCCTCACCCCAACTTAAAGTAATGCTTCAGAGTAGTCTGAAGTGGTACAGTTCAGGCTTACTTTGACCATGTAATAACATCTAGATTGAGTTTTAGTTTGACAGGAGACATACGTGGATTTGACATATTGTTACAGTGCAGAAGTCAACCCATATACCAGTCTTTCTAGAGTATATGACTTTCTATTGTTTATCTGCATAAGACTTCATAAAATTGTACAAAATCTCTCTGCATAAAAGGAAAACTTGAATGAGGAGAAGGGAAGAATTGTACAATTGCCCTTTTAGTTAGAAGTGTGCTATAGACATAGGTCAACATTGTGATTAACAACCACATTCATTTTTCTTTTCTACCTACTGCCAGTGATAGATAATTAGACATCTATGCTTAATTCTTAGCTGCTTATTATGTTTAGGCATGTGCTGAAAAATAGATGCCACTTGAAATCTATGAGATAGGTCAAGGTAACCACCAATATTTTTGTGGTATGTTTCTTTTAAAATTATTAAATTCAATGTATCATATACTTTTTCTGTTCTTTCCAATATGGCCACTCTGATCCAAGTAATCCAGGTGAGAGAGACCTCTCAAGAAACCATGCTCCAGCTGTACAATGTTAATAACGGTATCTTCAGGGATTCTTTTTTCATCTGTTCCATTTTCTTTCTTCAAAGCAACCTCAGTATGAGAACACAGCAATGCAGGCTCAGTTTGCAGAAAGAACTGTGGCACACTGTGAAAAGGAGGAGTTGGAACGAAAGTTTGCAGCAGTACAAAGTAGGGAGCTACAACTCAGCGAGTTTCTCAGACAAATGGCAAACAAATCCAATGAAGATAAAAAAAAGATGGAAGAGAAGGTAGGCCCCACCTAGATTTTGGCTTTATTGTTGTGACAGAAGTGTATGTCCCAGTTGAATTGGTTATATTGAATCTTTAATTTTCCAAGAATCATTTGTATATGCTGTATATGGCTAATCATGATGATGTCCCAATTTTACACAGCTTTATTCAGCTGGGAAGAAACTCTTTTTCATTGGGGTTGGACTGTAGTGGGTTGGTTCCAGACTGAGTTGGACTTTGGCTCCATTGAAAACAGTGGAACAATTTAATCATGGTTTAAGATCCATATATTTCAGTGGGATCCAAGTTCAGCTGACTTAGTCAAGATGCATCCCATTGGATGGTAGTAGGCAGGTCTGGCTCATCTTGATAGAACTGTTCCATACATGGATTTTGTATCTATTGTTAAATTTCTCATTTTTTTTATTTTAAATTGCAACAATAGGTGGAAGTAGTACATTGAAAAGGATGTTAGATTAGTGTTAAAGCAACCCACTTCAGCTGCTCTAGTGGAGGTCTTGTAATATGGCAGTGCTACTAATAAAAGCCAAAATGGATATTAAAGGAACTACAGTGAATTATATTGTATTCTGTTCTAAAATATCTATAAAAAGTTCATACCCAGGAAAAGTTTTGCGTGTTGTAAAGACAAAACAATTATTCCCTAAGCATGCTTGATTTTGTTCTGATTCCTTTTTGAGTTGTGGAAGAGAATAGAGTTATGCAAGGCACTGTTGCCCTTGGGTGTCCTATTTCTGGCTTATCAACTTCTATTTCCTGATGCCATCTAGTAAACTCTTTGAAGGCATCTCTATCAATTCATACCATGGCTGATACTCAGTTTAATGGATATTTAGGTATAACAAATCCCAAACACAAAGTATCTTTTGCTTTGAAATTTACAGTGGTAGGGAGAAATCCAGCATTGATTCTCCATGAAATGAATGCCTCATCCAGAAAATGGTTAAATGGTTTGATTGATTTTTATTATGCAGTGTTTCTGTTAATTGTTAGAGTGCATTTTTAAAATGGTTTGCTTGACAGAAATCCTTGTTGACAAATAGGTTGTCAAGATGCATGTAGTTAGCTGCTTTGGCTTATCATGTATAATAAAGACAGACTTTTTTTAAAGCTGGCAGTGCCATGAGAGTGCTGTCAGAAGTTTACCTCAACAAAGCAGCTGTTTGACCTGAAATCCTCTGAAAGAACTGTCATACTGTCAAGGAAAATGTTAGGCTGCATTTTGACTCTTGTGTTGGTACTGGGATGGATTTGCAACTTTTCTCATACCTATGACAGACCCACATTCATATGTGTGTGCACATATTCAAAGGCCATACCTACATGTTATCAGTTCATACATGGTCTGAGTATACAAGGTATATTAGCAGCTAAACAGGAAAGCAAGCTTTAAGCTCACATACCTTTGCATAACCACAATTACATCTAAGCAAAGCAGCCAGGATCTATCTGTTCTGCAGCAGATAAATAACCCGAGTAGAGCCTGCTTATGTATAGCCATTTCCCCCCTAGAAGTTCTGCTCACAATAAACTTTCTTGCAGTGATGGAGAAAGGCTCACAAGCCTGTGATTGGAACACTACGAACTATACTGGCAGAGGCTATATCTAAAACTACCCATAGTTTTAATGTTGACATCATATACCACCAGCAACCACATTCTGAATGTCACACTTTGAAAAGAAGAAACTGTCCTACAACTATTAACACAAGACAAATAATTGTAACCAAGAGTATGTTTTATAAATATATTTTGCGGCTTCTAGACTCTTGGCTTAAATAAAGAAAAAGCAGCTCTGTATAGACATGGGTTGAACCTTGGACATAGGAAGCAAGAACTCTTAGCTTTTGAAAAGGTAAATACTGTATTGCAGACAGCTTATGTTTTAACAATACACTGTTTTATATTTTTGAAAAAAACACCTTAAGGATCTGTTGTATAAAAAAAAATGAGTCTGTTTCTAAATTAGCCTGTAAAGATTTGTTTCCTACCTCACATAATGAAACGCATAACCTTTTTCCCTTTCTAGCTGAAAACCAGAGACAGGTACATAACCAGCCTGAAAAAGAAATGCCAAAAAGAATCAGAGCAAAATAAAGAGAAACAGAGAAGAATTGAAACACTTGAAAAGTACCTGGCTGACTTACCAACACTAGATGATGTTGAAAGTCAAACTAAGCAGGTAATCTTTTTTTTTGCAGTGCTCAGAAGACAAAGAGCTCAGTTAGTACTTTTGCTGAATTCATATTATAAATGTGTGTGAGAGAGAGTTAGTGAGATTATTTCATAACTATTTGAATATTTTTAAAAAAATATCTGGGTACATCTTGGCATAAGTCCCATAGCAATGAATGAGCACTACCCCAAATCATCTATATTTTTCCCACACATTTTAGCATTGTGCTCCATTATGTTAATATGTACATGGGTTTTGCATTGCCTAAATGTGAAGCTCATATTTGTTGCTATTCAGCTGTATTAAGTTTTTCGGTAAAGAAGCAAATCTTTAAAACAGAATTCAACTGGAATATAGCATCTAAATGATCCTGCCTGGTCCTGCCTTGTTTCCGGAGAAATGCCTACTTTTCAAAGGTGTTAAAAGCAAGTGTTAGCAAAAGAGGAAGTGCACTTTTCTACATTCCTGAGCATCTTATCTTAGGAATGGTCAGGATAGTTTGAGAGAATGGGCCCTTATGCGGGGGAACATTCAAAACCCTGAGGATCTTTTTGTGGATGCTTTGATTTGATTTAATGCTCATGGCTTTGGTTTGATTTGACAGCTCACCTTTTGACAGCTACTAGAAAAGCAAAGTGAAAATAAAAACTTTTTGGCATTAAGTCAATATCCAGTGTTATCACCTGCTACACATTTACAGCTGTACACCACAATTGTCCAAGCATGTTCTCCCATTTTTGGAACTGATACTTCCACAGTTGCACATGTCCAACAAAAACAACAATTAAACATTATGAAAAAGCATACATTTGGAGTGCAATTTATTTCTTTTTAAAGTAAGACGTGGCCAACCAGTAGCAGCACTTTGGAGGGGCTGTCACTAGCTGTCACATCAGGGATTATTGTTTACAGTTTCTGGGCGTGGGGAGTGGGGAAGCCACAGTGTGCAAAAAA